AGTCGTTGGCAGGTGATCAAGCTGCCGGAGTTCCACTCCAGGGGGAATCGCGGAGTTCTCCAACTAGAGCGGAAATGCCCCTAACCTTTTATACGGCTAGCGAGCCAATTGCCAGCCGCCACGTAGGAATAATTTAACATCGGACAATTGTGTTATGCAAATCTGCATTTCCTCGGCGGGAACTCTATCCACGCCGGAACTCTTCACCATGCCGAGACGTCCCCTGCCTTACCGTGCCTTGTGCTAGAAAGTTCCACTGTGTCGAGGCACTGATCCAAATCAGCTCTGACATGCCCCCTTGCTGAAGACACAGTTGGGACTTGAAGCACGTGCATGCCGTCCAAATTATCGCTCCTTTTTAAAGATAACCAACTTTGCACAAAAATATACAATGACAGTAGTTCGTTCTCTACGGATCAAACCAAATAGTAACCAACACACATACACACACACATCAATATATTGGTCACAAAAAGTTCAATGATGAGGAGTTCAATAGGTGTCATGGCGGAGTCACACCTCAGATGACCTCTACGTCTCTCTTTCTCTCTCTGGATCCGCTTCTGACACGTATCTCGAACCTCGGGTAAACAGAACTGTAGAAAAAAGAATTCTTAGACACTGTTAATCAACTTATATAACACTATCTATTTGGAGAGGTAATCAGATCTCTTCTCTTGGTTCCCCACTCTCCTTCAAGCACGTGACACAGGTGCTTGAACTCGACTCAGCTCCGGACGGCTCTTGCACGCCCCGAGATGCACCGTCACGAATGACAATCCACACACGGACACTGCGTTGTCTTGTCCTAACACGATGAGGACGCTCCGGAGTCGCCGTCTAGATCCTTCGGACACTGGAAACCCAACTCGTGGGCCAACTGCCATTGACCCTCGTCTCCCAGGATCCGCAGCTGTCGCTTCATGAGTCTGGAGTGGTGCAATAGGAAACCAAACATAAGCCTCTCCTCTTTCGTCCTCTGCGGCAGTTGCCACACTCGCTCTGGGTCATTCGAAGTCCCTGTGTCTGACTTCATGAGCGCTTGGACTCGCGGAAGGTGTCGCAAAAGGCTGCAGGCCGGTTGGCCGGCTAACGGGTTGAGGAACACATCATTCCTCCCTCCATACACCTCAACACAAGCCTGTATGCTGTCAAATAATACTGGAACAGTTCCAGGGTTTCGCAGGTGGTGATGCGGCCACGATCTCCGCTGCTGGGTCGGCATCAATCCCAGCGCGTGCTCCCTGGGGTTCCAGGAACCGTATGAGCTTCCTATCACCGCCAGTAGGATCTGCTCTGCACTGATCCTCGCCGGATGACCCTCGTGCCAGACGTGGGGCTTGTGATCCACTTGACCCGTGACGAGTGCTGGGAGTGGGACAGGCCAGTGAGTGTTGTACGTTAGCCACTCTATATCGGTAGCGTGCCCTCCACTCCACGAGGCTTGTCGAGTGAAGAAACTAGCCTCTTCCAGATCAAGCAGGTCGGATCCAAACTCCACGACCAGACGTCCTAACCATACAGCCAAGGTCTCATCGGGCTTGATCTTTGACTCTTTACACAATTCCTGTACCTCAGTCCAGGTTCTAGTGTGATGAGTGGTGTGGATTGTCTCCCACACTCGGCCGCTTGCTGCTACAGAACACGTAGCTGCTGTCGAAGCTGCCGGTGCATCTGTGGAGGGGGGGG